CGTGCCACCCTCACATGGGATGGTGCATCTCCCCTCCTCCCAGCCCTGGGGAGAGTCTTGGCCCAGCCCAGAGTGCAGAGTGGCGATGCTCCATTTCCATGGTGATGGTTGGTAGCGTGACAACAAAGGACAGTCGCTGCACTGCAGGGATCATCACACAGGACAGCGGGATGGAGAGGAGAGCGGCTGCGGCGGTGGCTGCAGTCCCCACCTCGGCGAGGACACACAATCGTGGGCCAAGTATCTGCCACTGAAGTTTTCCCCTCTTCTTCCTGCTCCAGTGTGAAAGTCACCCACTGGGATGCAGCGGCCTCGTTCTATTCTGTATGGAGCCACTGAGTTCCTGCGTGTTCTCTCATAACCTGCCCTGCTCCCAATGCCTTTGTAGGACACGCAGCCGCGCTGCCAAGGATGCTTTTCCTAGAGTGTGGTGCCTGCTGTCCTGCCTTGTCTTGCCTGGGTCAAGGAAACATCACCCCAACTCTCTGACCACGGCTCCTGCTCCTGCTCCAGGCATTCACAGGAATATTTCTGTCCCTGCCTCGCTTGGTGTTTGGAGATATGAAATGCTCAGAGTTCGTAAATCACCCCAACAAGGACATAACCTTGATTCCCTGTGCAATACCGATAGATTACCTAACAGGAGGCATGAAATGGAAGAATGGCTCCATTTGTATAATTCTGCATTAAAAATCAGCCTATTCTACAGTTAATGCTCCTGTGAAGTGTCTCCACAGGCACAGGAGAAAGGGGCTGATGCTGGAGAGCAAAAAAGGACCTTATGAAAGGGACTGCACTCAAGTGAGCCTTTGAGGCTTTGGGGAAGTGGGTTAGTGCTGACGGGTGGTGTTTTGATGTTTGTCAGAGCTGTGATCCCAGTTAATTTTCAGACACATTACCAGAGCCGGGGGGTTCTAGGAGCACAGCGGCTGTGCTGGATTAATCCATGTCCTGTCTGCAGTATCAGGGTTGCCTGAGGTGCTGCCACCCCTGAAGGTTCCCAGGCTTGGGGCAGGGGTTGTTCTGTCCCACTCCATGCTGGATGCTCCTGCTTTCCCTCCCTGCACGTGGAGGTTGGTGCACAGTAGTGCCAAGTGCCATGGCAGCCTCTTCCCCACTGCTGAGGACCACGGTGAGCTCACGTCCTCCAGCATCCTTGAAATTAATCTCTTTCACATCAAATGCCAACTGTCCTCCTCTTCAAAGCACACAGCTGCGCCTGGAAAGATTCTGGAAGGGGTTTCATACAGGGGAGGACTCTGAAAGGTGCGTTGGGTGGGAAGGCTGTGGTGGCTCCAGTGCAACATTCACTGTTCCGTCACCTTTGAGACTGGATGGACTTGGATTGGCTCAGGAAATAGTCCCAGAGTGCCTGGTGTGCCTGGTCCATGTCATTAGCCCAGCAGTTTCCTTGAAATCTGCCCTTGTGCTTGTTGCAGGTAAATATTTGTAGGAGTTTCATTTCCCACCTCACCATCCATGGAGCCAGGGGAGAGGATTTGTGGCTGGTGGGAGCCAAGACCTCAGATGAGGAGATCAAGGACAGGATTTCATTTTCTCAAATATATCCGCTCTGTGTTTCTTTATCTAACCCAGTTTCAGAGTTTTATTGAGTTTTTCCTGGAGTTTGAACAGTATTTTGGGATAACATTCCCATTCACCTCCAAGATGGGAAAAGAAGTAATGTGAAAATTGCCCACGCTCCTCAAATTTCTTTGCAAAATAGGTTGGGTGTGCTTGTAGGGGGGTGAGGAAAGCCCCGATTCCCGAGTGAGGAGCGTAACTACAGCCCTGCCCAATACATCCCTCTGGCCCTACCTCCAGCCAGGGCTGGCTCCGTGCCCCCAAACCGAGGCAGATGGATGGGTGTGGGTCTGGATGATGTATTCCCTTCCCTACGCCAGAGCCCCTCTCTGGGTGCAGTTAGGGAGCTACCCCATGCACTGGGAGCAGCTCAGGATCTTCTGCCTCCTCTCTGCTGTCCCTGAGGAGCAGCTCGTGCCGTTGGAGAAGTGTTTGAGCTGTTTGATGTCTCGGCAAAGCAGGAACGCCCTCCCGGCCTCCGAGCAGCGGTGACTTTGTGCCGGCGCTCCCGAGAGGCTGGCGGTGCTCTCTCCTGCCTGCCCGGGCGACAGGGAGGCGGAGGCTCGGGGACTCCCGGGGCGCTGTGCCGGGCCGGGCCGTGCTGTGCCAGCCGCAGCGGGCTCTCCTGGGACAGCCCAGGTTTTCTGGGGCAAGGACAAGGTGGCAGGAGATCCGGGCGAGATGTGTCCTCGCTCCGTGGGTGTCCTTCGGGACGTGTCGCTCCCGCTGGCAGCCTTGGCAGGGTGCTGGGGTGGGGGAGGCAGGGGAGGGCCGGGTGGTCCTGCCTCTGGCCGCGCCACGCGTTGCCGCATCCATCCCCGCCGCCGCGCCGGGCACATCACGCTGCGTTGCCAGGACAACGGCAACTCCTACACGCTGCTATTTATTCTGAAGGACACTTGCTCTTATCTGTTGTTGCAAAGCCCTCAGAAGATCGCATGCCACGCAAAAATTCCTCCGAGGTAACCGGGCTGGCTGCTTCTGTCGCTGAAGCCAATCTCTGGGGACATGCCAGCCGGTGTGGTGGCTAGGAGGACGCTCCTGGGGTGACAGCCCCTTGGGTGGCATCGCTTGATGGGACGTTGGTGGGAGGGTGACCCACGGTGTCCTCGGGGCAGAGTGGGATCTGCCCCATCTGGGTGTCCCTTACTGTGTCCATCCCCATGCCAGAGCCCCTGACCTGGGCAGCAGTGAGGGACACTGGTGTCCTGGGTGTCACCAGCGCTGCCTGGCCATGCTGGGACACAAATTTCTAGCATGACCCAGGGCAAGACAAGGGCTGGGTGTTGCCTCTGCCCACACATCCTCCTGATGCTGCTATGAGTGATGCAGCTGTGTCAGGCAGGTTCTGCAGGAGCAAGCCCCTGGAAGTTCACTACAAGGGCTGGGTGTTGCCTCTGCCCACACATCCTCCTGATGCTGCTATGAGTGATGCAGCTGTGTCAGTGCAAGTTTACGCTGCCATCGCTGCAGCCTGAAATGTCACAAGGAGAGAGGAGGAGATGGAAGCAGGGGGAATATCTGTTTTTCCTATGAGCTGCCAATCCCAAGCACCAAGGAATGGCATTTTGTGTTCAGAAGTTTCCAGGCAGTGGCTGGGGTGCAACGAGCACCAAGTTTGGGCTGGGCACATCTTCCCTTGCTCTGTTCAGCAGCTGTTCATAAAAGTTCTGAGTGTGAGCAACACAGAGAGCTGGGGAGGGGATGAGGTCTGGGGGTGGGCACAGATAGTGTGAGAGGTGGCACCTGGAGTGAGTGACATGTCAGCAGGTGCCCAGCTTCTTTCCTTCCTTGCAAGGAGACATTTCAGTTGATGTTGTGGATTTGGGCAGAGGCTGAAATCAAGCCTGACACGCCACAGGAGTGATCCTGAGCACTGCAAAGGTGAGTCTGTGCTTGATGATCCGGCTGGAGGATGAGCTTGTGGCTCCTCACCAGTGGAAGCACAGAATTTGTTACAGCACGTGGGGGACACTCTTCATGCTGCCACCACTCTGTCGGCCTCTAAAAAAACCCACCACCACGGTTTGGGTGGTTGTGGTTTTTTTGAAGCCTTGAAATCCTTCCTCCCCCAGCCTGAACTATTTTGGTTTCTGTTGTCTGTTTCTGGCTCTTCCCTTTCTCCTTCTGCGCTCTTTCCTTGCGTTGCCTTCTCCCTCCCCAAAATAAATGTTGTTACGCTTTGAAAAAATACCCAATTAGGAAAAAAGCAGAGATCCTCTGAGCAGAAAAAGCCTGTGCCTGGGAGTATCCAGGTCAGCTCCTTTAGCTTCGCTGGCTCACGCACAGAGGGAGTGTACAAATGCTTCTGTCAACCAGATGCACATTCTGTCGTGCTCCCAAGGACTGTGCGGGCGCTGCTGCAGAGGATTAGCCCGTTTAGCCATGTAAAGCTCTCATTAACTCCTGCTGAGTTCAACAAAAGTCTTGCTCGTGTAAAAGCTAAGTAAAATGGAGTAAAGATTTTTGGGTTTTGGCCTAATGATTTTTATTTATTTTTTTTCCTGGGGGGGTAGTGGGGGAAGAAGGCAACAGAATACTTGCCTGGCAGAGATTTTCTTGCTGCTTTACATGGGGCAGCATCGTAGAGGAGACATGAGGGGAGCAGAACCTTGGTGTGGTGCCACTGGGGAAGGGAGAGGGCTGTGACATGATGTGACGTGACGGTGACGTGAAAGCAAAATTCTAACTGCTGAAGCTGCCAGCAGCTCAGGGGTGTTCCAGCTGCTCTGTGGCAGAAAGGGCAGCAAAAGGGGCTGCTCCTCCTGCCCTGCCTGTGCTGCAGGGTCATGTTCAGCTTGGGTGCTCCACACCGTGGGAGGGGATGTGCCGTGCTCCGTGGGAGGATGTTCCTGCTGCGGCGTGGGTGACTGCCATAGTGGGAGATGGGCTACACATGCAAACATAAGAACTCACAGACTCTTCTCCAGCCCTTTGAGGGATTCATCATGCTGCCTGTGGGCTTGGGAAGCAAGGGATGGGCTCTCTGCATCTCAGTGTCCCTGCAGTGAAAGCTGGTGCTGCTGGAGCTGGGATGGGCCGTCTGCTTTAGATCATTCACCCAAAAGGGCTAAGTTTGGGCAAAGCAGGGACTGGCTGCTCCTTCAGGATGTTCCCAGGTAGAATTCGTCCTCAGGTCATTCCCATCATTCCCAGACCAACTGAAAAGTCACAGTTGTCAGTGGGGATCCTCAGCCTGCCATGTGGGTGGTGGTAGTTTTTAAGGGGAGGAGGTGGAGCATGCCCTAGGATGCTGTACTGGGGGGCTCTGGCTGGAGAACCAGGGAGAACAACGGTACCCGTGGAGCTGGGGGATGTTTTGGTTGGCTGGGCTCAGAGATCTAGGGCGTGCCATACCGAGATGGAGAGCAGGGTTGCCCCACTGCCCTTCTAACACGATCCCCATCTGTCCACAGGTCAGGTTGCCCGCTCGGAAGCCATGCTTGGATTTTAATAGCCATGTTCCACCTAGCCATGGACCTTGCCAGCTGCCAGCCCCCAGCCACCACCGGCACTGCGGGGAAGCTCTCAGCACGGCCGGCGCTCCGGCACAGACTGTCCCGTGGCTCGCTGTGGGGCACGGGCAGCGGGGAAGAGCTCCAACGCCCCGGCCCCCCCTGGACCTGCGGCCCCGCGCCCCCTCTGCAGAGACCCCGCCCCCGCCGGCCGCCCCCCGCCGCCCCGCTGCCCGCCGGCCGCCCCCTGCGCCGGCCGCGCTCCCGGAGGGGCCGGCGGCACCTGCGCGGCCGCGGCTTCGCCCCCCGGGACGGGAGACCCACGGCGCTGCCCGAGGTCATCGTCTGGGGCCCCACGGGCGAGGAGGACTCGCTGGAGAGCAGCACGCTGCCCGGCGCCTTCGCCACCACCACCGCCACCGCCACCGCCGCCGCCACCACCTCCGCCACCACTGCCGCCGCTGTCACTTCTGTCACGGCCGCCACGCCGCCCCGGGTGCCCCCCAGCACCGCGGCTCCCGCGGCCGGCGGGGACGGGCCCCGCGGCGGCCCCGGGCGCAGCAGCACCGCCGAGCCGGCCGCCGGACACAGCAGCGGAGGCAAGGATGCTCGGCCGCCGCGTGGGCTGGGGGACAGCACAGGTAGGGTCTGCCGGGGGACAGCGAGCTGGCGGGGACATCGGGAGGGCTGGCGGGGTCACCGCGGCACGGGTGTCCCGCGTGTTTTGTCTTTTTCAGCAGCGCCCCACTGGGAGCTGCTCCAAGGCTGCCGGGCTGGCTGCTGCCAGGGTGGGTGTCAGTCCTGACCTGCCACACCTGGGCACGAGCTGCCACCACCCTCCTCAAGCCGTGGGGACATGCTCCCATCGTCACCACCCTCTGGGAATTCATAGTGTGGGGCCAGAAACCTTTCTCCAAGCCTCACCTTCAGGAGACAGGGTGCCAGTGGGAGGTGGGCAGCCTCCCAGTGTGGCATTTTCCCTGTGAATTCCCCTGGGAGATGAAACCCAGAGGTGGAGGAGCCAAGGAGTGAGCTGGAATTGGCTGCTGCTCACCCTGCCAGCCCGGGGGCCACGAGTGAATCCTTCCCCAGGAGCAGTGGCTGCCCCAGTGCTGCCCCCAGGCACCCCCAGCTGCAGCTGAGCCGTGGCCCTGGCACTGACTCCCAGCGTCCCGGTGGCATCGCTGCCTGGGACAGGAGTTAGTGTGACATTAAACAGGCGCTCGGAGGAGAACGGCGGCGCTGATTATCGCTTTTATCCCAGGCGTTTTGCAGCCACTTGCTGTGTTTTCCCATTACAGTCTCCATCCACAGCCCATCTCCCGTAATCGCGCTGAGCATCACGCTCGGCACAGCAATGCCTTCCCCCAGCGCTGGCTGCTGCGTGGACATGGATGGGAAAGCTGCTTCCCATTTATTGCAAATTATATTTGTTATTGCTGGTATTAAACCGTGGGATACCGGTGGATAGTTTACAGAATTTACTCACTGTGCATCGACTGCTTTGAGCCCTCTGTGATTTTCTAGTCCAAATGAAAAGGAATTTTACGGCCTAATCTTAATCCCAATTAATTTATCCAGCCTGCCCTGCTTGGCAAAAAGAGACGATGCAACCAGCATGTTGTTCCTGACTTAAAGGGGTTATTTATAGCCGAAAAATAACTCCCAGTCTTTTACACACCTTTTACAAAATGCTGAAATGGGCTGGATAGATCAGCGAGGGAGTATTGATGAGGGCTGAGGCTTTTGCTGCTCGCTGCATGATGAGAGCCTGTTCCCCCCAGACCTGCTGTGGTCAGTGCCTCTGGCCTCAGTGGCATCATCCAGTCCAGAGGGTGGGATCCAGTGGACTTGTTGCCACCAGCCAGCTGCAGGAGCCCCTCTGCCTGCACCAGCTGTGGGAGGATGACTCCTGGCACATGCTGGGGCTCTGGGACTTACTGGAGTGGGCTGTCTTGTTTAGGCGAAATTGAGCTGGCAGTGATGCCACCCACCTGCCAGTGCCACCACTGCTGTCCTGCGTGGCCCCAGAACAACGGGAGCTGCAGCCCTGGCAGCTCCCAGGGGGCCAGCTGCTTTAATCTGCAGGCTTTAGCTCTCATTAGGGGCTTTCTCCGTGATCGGAGTTTTTGCTAATTAACTTCTCTTCAAGCAGTGAATGCGATAAACTTCTTCCCGGGTCTAAAGGCCCTGTTTGATCCCAGCTCATCCACCCTCAGTTGAAAAGCTCCTGAGGTCCAGATCCACTTTTCCTTCCAGTGCTGGGGCTGAGCACCCAAGAGCACTCTCAGTATGCTCCCAGTGGGAGCTCCATGCCCCTGCCATGCCTCGGGACAGCGTTTTGGGAGCGAGCAGCCGGCACTGTCTCAAAGCAGGGTCCGTGCCAGTTTTGCTGGTGCGGCGCCTGTGCGAAGCCGTGCAGCTTCCCAGCCCTGCTCCGCTCTGTTATATAAGCTGTAGCGGCTGGAAGTGTTTGTTCTCTGCTGGGAAAAACATATGGCTACAAATGAGGATGAGGTAACTCGCCTGTACGGTTTATTTGCCTCAGCGAGCATTGCCAGTCCCCGTCCGGTGAGGCGCCTTGACGGGAGCACGCAGTGGGCACGGTGCTGCTCTCACTGTCTGTGGTTCCTCAGCTGTCCCCAGCACATGCCTGGGGGGGTCAGGGTGGAACCACCTGTGTGTGGCACCCACAGGAGCTGGCAGAGCTGTCCCAGGGCTCGTGGGGCCACGCAGATCCCCTGCACTCGATTCCAGCAGAGCAGGTGGCTGCTGTTGTGCTGCTGCTCCCATATCCCTCCTGTGCCATGTCCTTGTATCCCTCTGTGCTTTGCCTCTGGGTCCTTGGTGATTGTGTGGGGCCGTGGGGTCCTTGGGGTGCACACAGGGTGGTAAAAAGACCCACTTCACTTCAGCAGAGGCAGCAGTGCTCACTGAGATGAGCAATGGGAGCAGCTCTGCTCTGTCAGATCATCTTCTCGCCCCCCTTCCTCCTCGCTGAGGAGCGAGAGAAAAAAGCCAGAAACAATGCCTCCGTGAGTCGCTGACAGCAAAAACAAGCTTAAAAAAATTCCCCTGGAATAGGAATCACTCGTCTCAGAGGCAGGAGAGGCAGCACAGGAGTGATAGCAGGTAATGCTTGGGATGAGAGCCGAGGCAGGTTGGCCCAGTGGGTGCTGCTGTGGGGGTTCAGGTGACCTGTGGCTCAGGTGTCCCTGTCCTCATGCCACCCTTGCCATGCAGCACAGCACTGCTGGCATCAGCTGGGCGTGCAAGATGTTCACCCAGGCGTAGTTTATGCTTGTGCTTTTCAAAAATGTGCTTCCTTCTTCAGGGCTGTCATAATTGTTTTACTCTGGAGCAGGGAAAGAGAGGAATAATTAAAATTCCAGCATGCTGCAAGTGGGAAGGGCTGTGAGGAGCTTTCACCGGGCACTCTCCACGTGGGCTGGGCTCCTCCAGCAAGGCAGAGCATCCCTGGGTCCCGCAGCCTCAGCCAAAGCAGAGAAGAGTGGAATGAATCAGAGCTGTCAGTGCGAGGCAGGAATTGCACTCGCTGGTTTGTCTGAGCCTCCTTTCAGGAGCTTTAGGATAAAGCCGTCTTTAATTAAACCTTTAAGTGCTTTATAAGGCAGAAAACTCCATGTGCTGTCTGCTGCTCTTAGTGGTATTTGATGACCGGTCGCGGCGCATTTGGCACCACAGTCTGTGAGCTTGTGGCAGAGCTGGTGCTCAGGGACACTCCTTCACCAGGGCTGGGGTTCTCCTGGGGGAAGGTGGGGGCCATGTGGGTGTTGGCAGCTGGATCTGAGCTGGTGATGGCCCAAGGCCACCCCTCCTCACCTCCAGCTGGCAGTGTGTCAGGAATAAATAATAACAGAGGCGTTGCTTCCCGCTGGTGGTGACCCTGCCTCCAGAAAGAGGGTGCAGTAGGGGGTTGCTGGAGGCGAGGAGATAGTAGATGCAAAAAGCTTCAAAGGAATTAATTAAAGATAAAATGTGTTTAAAAGAAAACCCTGGGCAGTGAGGATGGAGCTGCCTCTTTGATCCGCCGTGCCAAGGCGTGGGGTGGTGCCGCAGCTCAGGGACAGAGAGGAGGTGAAGGAGCTGGATGGTGTCTCCTGGGCTGGCACCACGGTTACCCTTCCTGGGAGCTGCCCAAAGGATCCCTTGTAGGGCCATGCATCAGCTGCAGTTCTCCTGAAGGGTGGAGGATGACTGGAAGCCAGAGTGGCCGTCAGCTGAGCTCTCCCTACGAGGGATTCGGGACACTCCCCGGGATGCGCGGAATGTGCCTGTGCACATCCTCCCACGTGCCTCTCAGTGAGCCAGAAACTCTGCTCTGCTGCTCTCCAAGTATTTATTGCTCGTTGATATTTGCTGTAACACCTGAGAAGATAAGTCCCAGTGTATTTAGCATAAACCTCCAGGATTTTCCTTCTTGGCAAAAACATTTTGCAGCAGCAGCAGCAGGAAGATATTTTTTTTCTTTCATCAGTCCAGCTCAAAATACCAGGAAGCTGCCAGGAACCGTGGTGGGTTTTTTGCTGAAAAGCTGCATTTTTACCTCAGGATGACTAACACTCCCTGGGCTGGGTTCAGAGAGATCACTGATTTACCAGGTGGAAAACCAAGCAGCTTTGCTGACCTCAGCTTTGCCATCAAGAAGGTGTTGGGAAGAGCAGAGCCAAGGCCATTTGTGATGTGGTGGATTGAGCAGCAGAAGAACTGCCTGTGCACTGTAACAAGGCTTTTCAAGAAGATTTCTGCTGTGTCTCGTCCCCTGTATCAGACCCTTGTGGCTTTTGTAAATTATTTTCCTTACAAGCTATTAGCCAGCAGTAGGTTCATGTTACGGCCAAATCTGGCTGATCCCCCCTGGGAAAGGCCGGCGGTGGCAGCAGGGAGGCCACACCATGCTCCTGATTGAATTGTTCTGTCTGCAAGCAGCTTTATCAGGGGATGAGGTTTTTGGGGCTCAGATGTGATTTCTGATGGCTGGGGAAGCTGTAAAGCCTCTTGAGTCCAGCAGCTTTGCCCCAGCTTCTCCGCAATGCCCAGGAGGAGGCATTGGCATCCTGGTGCTCAGGGCTTGTGAGAACAGAGGAAAGGGACTCATGACAGGGATACAGGGATGAGGATGGAATGCTGAGGAGGGGGAGATCCGCACAGCATAAGTGTGGGAAGAGATTGAGGATAGCTGTATCTGGCCTGTAAGAGTAACTCCAGTTTTCTCCCTTTCAAATGAAATAGAGTTGTTTTCTCCTTTTTCTAATTTTATGCAGCTTCAAGGCCTTGACGAGGGTCTTCAAAGAGTTGCAGCTCGTAGCTGTTTTTATTGGGAAAATGAAAAATACAGGCTCCCTAACCAGAGCTGTTGAAATAAAGGCCTTGGGGGATAGAGGTTCTCTTTGTTTTTAATTAAGAGCTTATATCTCCTGTTTGCTGCCATGGCGCGCTCCTGCAGTAGCACGACATTAGTCTCGAATGGATTTTCTCATGGAATTAATTCCATTGATGCAGAGCTGTCCGGGAGCCGTTTCAAAAGGTGGCCAGAAAGGCCAAACCTCAGCACTTTCATCTCAGCAGCAAATATATGGTCTTTAAAATAACAGATAGAAAAAAAATAAAAAGCCCTGGCTTTGGCTTGCTCCGAGAAGATTGGGGTTTTGCCCAGGATGTGGGGAATCGGGAGCTGGGTTGTGCTGCCCGCTGGGATTCTGCAGCCCCTCTCCCCCCACCGGGGGGATTTAGAGGCCTCGGTGAGAGCGGAGTGCACACGGATGGCACGAGAGTGGAAAAACCCAGCGATATTTCAGCATTTCCGCGGGTTCAGAGAGCGCCTTTGAAGAGCTTTCCCTCCTGGCAGGCGGCATGCGGAATTCTGCTGCACTAGCAGAAGCGCAGAGGCTTGGACACACTTTCGGCTCCATTAAATACTTCTCCTGTAATTACCCTCCAGTTAAATGGTCACTGCGTCAAATTGCCTGGTAAAAGCCTTGGCAGGGGGAGCCCTCGCAGGGCTGAGGCGTTCGCAGGTGAGAGGGGGTCCCTCCCTGCGCTCCCGCCGCTGCCCTCCCTGCAGCTCCCTGTTTCCACGGTTAATAACGTGTAATTACATGGCCACCGGGTTCCGTGACCCGCTGGGATCGGAGCTTTTGCCGGGGAGATGAGCAAACAAAAGCCAGGCACTGTAATCCCTGCTCCCGGGGTCTCCCTCTGGGGACACAGGCTCTCATGGGGAGTTATGCCTGTGCCAGGCAGCTTCCTGCGCTGGAGGAGGAGGAGGATTTTGCTCTATGAGCTATTGATTTTATCTTCCAAGTCCCCTTTCTCCATCCAGTTGGGCTTTGAGGGCTGTGTCTAAAACACTGCTTTGCCCTTGGCAGCATCTCTGTCCATCTCACCTCAACCACCAGGGTGCTTTATGTCCCTTACAGGGCATTCCCCTCTCAGAGGGTGCCCCACACATTAACCCCACCTCTCACAGACTGGATATTTGCTTGGTCTTGCTCCCTATGGCCCTACATTCTTTGAGGGCCTAATAGAAAGTATTTGATATATTTGTAAATTAAGAATAAAGACTTGGAAGTGCTTATTGCAGCAGGTATTGCTATAGGGCTTCCCAGGGAACCATCACGGGCCACCTGTTGGGTCCCTTCCCTCTGTCCATCACCAGCATTGAAACAAAGATCTCCTGTCCCCTTGAAATCCCCCTGGCTTCTGCAGAATTTATACATGATGCAAAGGAACTTTGCTGTGCCGGTACATATGGCAACTTATGTGTGTGATAGAGTCTAAAATTATCCAGCCTTTCTTAAAATCCATGTGTCCTGCTCCAAGGAGCTGCCATCCTTCCCAGTGCTCAGCCACCTGCAATCTGTTCTGTGCCTTTCCCATTACGTAAATGCAAGGATTAATTGCATCGTTTGGTTCTCCTGTGGCCCTGCCACCACTGCCTCAGCTCCCAGTGTTGCAGAAGGTCTCGTCCCCGACTCCGCTTCTGTTTTCAAAGGAATCGGGCACTGGGCTGGTTTGATTTTATTTTTAGAGTCTTTCCTTTTATCTTTTCCAGCAGCGTCCCACTGGGAGCTGCTCCAAGGCTGCCATGCAGGATGCGGCCAGGCTGGCTGCTGCCAGGGTGGGCGTCACTCCTGACCTGCCACACCTGGGCACGAGCTGCCACCACCTTCCTCAGGCCCATGGGGACATGCTCCCATTGTCACCACCCTCTGGGAACTCATAATGTGGGGCCAGAAGTCTTTCTCCGAGCCTCACCTTCAGGAGACAGGGTGCCAGTGGGAGGTGGGCAGCCTCCCAGTGTGGCATTTTCCCTGTGAATTCCCCTGGGAGATGAAACCCAGAGGTGGAGGAGCCAAGGAGTGAGCTGGAATTGGCTGCTGCTCACCCTGCCAGCCCGGGGGCCACGAGTGAATCCTTCCCCAGGAGCAGTGGCTGCCCCAGTGCTGCCCCCAGGCACCCCCAGCTGCAGCTGAGCCGTGGCCCTGGCACTGATGCCGTCCTTGCCACAGACACATACAGATATATATATAAAACTGCTTATTTTCCTGTCATTCTGAGACTTATTTATTTATTAAAACTACCATCCATCAGGAGCTGCAACATCTGTTTGTGAAAAATAGCACATCCTTGGGCTGCAGCCAGGAAAAATCATTTCATTATGAAATTGCAACTGTAAGGCAGCACAAAATCACAAACATAGTGTACAGCGAGCTGCTTTTGTTTCCAAACTGCTCATTAGGAATGATCCACGAGCCAAAATGATACCCCGTGGAAGGTGAAGAGGGGGAAATGAGCCCACCCGACCTGCAAAGCGAGCAGCCATCAGTGCTGTAATTATTCTCCCTGGTGAATCCCGCACCCGGTGCAAGGCTGTGCTCGTCTCCCTTTCCATCCCAGAGGGGAGACGTCTTCACTTCTCTTCCGTTCTTCGTGCCTAATTCGGGCTGACAAGGAACATACTTGAGAGGATAGGAAATGAGGAGCCTGGCTTACAGATTATTTTGTGTAAGGCAGGAGAGAGGATTGCGGCACCGCTGCCGGGGGCTGTGTGTGGCCTCATGCTGGGAGGGGGTGGTGGGGGGCTGTGTGGGGAGGGGGACTCTGCCAGGGTCCCCTCAGTTCCCAGTGTCTTTTTTCTTCTTTCTGCAGGTCTGGCTGTTCATCAGATAATCACTATTACCGTGTCCCTCATCATGGTCATAGCTGCGCTGATAACAACTCTTGTCTTAAAAAATTGGTAAGGTCCCTCCTGCTCTGCTTGGCTTGGGGGGTGGCGTGGGATGGGGACAGGGTGGGGATGGAGGTGCCCATCCCACTTGCAGGCACCAAAGCCTGTGGCACCTGCCAGCATAGTTTTGAAAAGGTATTGCAGGAGAAAATGGGGCGTTTACAGCAAAACCTCCAAAGGAGGTTGGTGCATCAGGGTTCAGCTGTGCCCCTGCAGATTCCCCACCTCACACCACCTGGCCAGTGGCTTTGGGGACCAGCATGTGCCCAGGCTGGGTGGACAAGTCTCATGGGACACGTGCCTCAGCACGATGCCCCCCAGAAAGGTCAGAGCCATGTGCTGGGCCACAGCGAGTGTTCCCAGGATCTGTCCAGTGCCAGCAGCTCCTCCACCACCTTCCTTAAGGAGCTTTGATGCTGCTCCTAAAATCCCCAGCCTGCCTTGGCAAGAAGCAGTCGCACCTCCTGCCCTTCCCTGTGACCCCAGGGACAGAAGGGCACTTTCGAAGCCCCTCAGGTGCCGTGGTTTGAAGCGTGCCCCAACCCCCAGGACACTGCTGTGCCCCTCCAGCTTCATTTGCTCCGGTTTGTTCTCTCAGTGTGGCTGGGCGTATGGCAAAATAGGTTAACTTTCGCTCCAGGCACTCCTCACTTTACCTATTTTCCCAGGGAAACTGGCCTACTTTGAGGTCAGCATTGCTGGCGTAGCGACACGGCTGCAGCGCGGGGCTGGGGGAGCGTGGCTGGCGGCTCTCCCCTCCGGCCTGGCCAAGCTTTGCCTGGGTGCTGCAGAGAATCCATTTCTGCAGCCAGGAGGCAATTACAGCTCCGGGTTGATGAGGAGCCTGCTGGCTAGCTGGGATGAGAGGAGAAGCTCTTTGCAGGCCTATGGAGGCATCTTTGTCTTGGCAAAGCTGTGATACTGAGCAGCAACCGACTGAAAGTACCGAGGTTCTGTCCCCACAGCTGAACTTGCTTTGGGGAGCAGCCAGTGGCACTCTCTCGTGTATCTCGAGTGGGATTTAATTCACTGAACTTCCCTGGTTGCTGCAGCGTTTCAGTGAAGGAGCAGGGAGGATAGTTTATGAAACACTTGTGGGATTTGTCTCCAGTCGCAGCAGTGAGCGGTACGAGTCATTGATCCGGCTGACCACAGCTTGGCAGAACAGCTCAGTAACTGCTGCTGAAGCCAAAAAGGGGGAAAAATAAATCCAGTGATCAGTGTAGAATAGAAATGCTTTACAGTAAGTGAAATTGAGAAATCACCAGAGAAAATTCTCAGCAGGAGAGTGTGGGCAGCACCCAGGTGTGTCCAAGGCGAAGAAACAGTACCTGGGAGTTTGCTCAGCTCTACCCAAACTGCCTCGGTTCTTTGGGTGACCCCAGGCCACGTTCAGGTGCTCCATGGCAGGGCTGACCCACATCACACACATTGGCCCTGTCCCCAGCAGGGACACAGTCTCTGTCCCCGTCCTTTGGCTGGCATTTGTCCCCCTCGAGCAGGACGGGTGAGCGATGGCTGCGTGCCAAGCCAGCGTCCTTCTTGTCACTGCTCCTCCTGCACGCGTGCTGTGGGGAGACAGCAGTTGGTTTAGGGCTGTCTCTTTCAGTTGCATCAAGCAGAGCAGAGCCAGCAGCCAGATGCTGTCATCCCGGCCAGCGCTGCTCCCAGCAGAGCCCCACGCTCCTGTCCCCAGGGGTGCCCCTCCACAGACAAAGCTGGCATCCCCCGGTGGCACCGCCCTCAGAGCTGCCACCTCCCAAAACTCCAGCATTCCGCAAGGCGCTGTCAATCCCATCTGGAAAAAGTGGCATCTTAATTAAATCAGTGTCTAGACCCTGAAATAGGACCAGGCTGATTGAGGGCGGCTCCTGTGAGCTGGGGTTCTCCTCGTCTCTGACGTACTGAGGCAGAAGTGTTGTGCAGCCACGAGATCCTTATGAAGCCTCCAGAGCTGGAGGAGCCCCCGGAGAGCAGGGCTGCCCTGCCAGCCATCCCTCTGTGTCACACCAGGTCCTGAGCTCATTTATCCTGAGAAGTTCCAACCTGTTGGCGTCTCCCAAATGGAAAGGGTTTCACTTCATTGTTCTCACCTACATATTTTCACTTAAGAAAAGGCTTTTGCTTCCTGCAGGTACAAAAGTGTGACTCATTAAGTAATTCCTCTGATGGGAAAAAGCTTGTGTCTAAAATGTAAATTTGGTTCTTATAAAAAAGCATCGAGCTAAATGACTGCTTGTGGCTGATCTTTCCAATTCTGAATCGGAATTGGAATTTCTGAATTCTAATCTAGTATGGAACAATCTGTAATGACTGGTCAGTCAGGAGAGTTCCCTTGCCAAGTTTCAGGGATACAGTGTGCTTCCCGTCCCTTCTGCTTTGGCCTTTGAGGCCATAAAAGACTTATAAAAATGGAGGGCAACTTTTTACACAGAGTGGGATGGGAAAAGGGGAATGCTTTTCAACTAAAGGGAAGACTTAGATTAGATTTTAGGGGAAATTTCTTCCCTATGAGAGTGGTGAGGCTCTAACACAGGCTGCCCAGAGAAGCTGTGGCTGCCCCATCCCTGGAAGAGTCCAAGGCCAGGTTGAACAACCTGATCTAGTGGAAGGCATCTCTTCCCATGGCAGGGGGATGGAACTGGGGGGTTTTTTAATGTCCTTTCCAGCCCAGACCATGCCATGATTGTCTGATTCTCTCTCCCTGCCCGCCCAGCTGTGCACAGAGCGGGCGCCCCCGGCGCAACAGCCACCAACGCAAGCTGGACCAGCAGGAGGAGAGCTGCCAGAACCTGACTGACTTCGCCCCCGCCCGCGTGCCCAGCGCCCTCGACATCTTCACCGCCTACAACGAGACGCTGCAGTGCTCCCACGAGTGCGTGCGGACCCCCGTGCCCGTCTATGCCGAGGACACGTTGCACTCGCCCGGGGATTATAAAACCACCTTCAATGGAAACAGGTGAGGTGGGGAGTACCATCCCACCATGGTGATGGGGCCCTGGTGCTCAGGGGTGGTGTTCTGGGAGCAGTTTGGCAGAGCTCCCCAGTGGGTGGGGAGCTCCCCAGTGGGTGGGGAGCACCATCCCGCCGTGGTGATGGGGCCCTGGTGCTCAGGGGTGGTGTTCTGGGAGCAGTCTGGCAGAGCTCCTACCTCTTGGGTGCTCACCCACTCCTAGTTCAGTGTGGGATTGGCCCCCAGTTCTGGCGGTGAGGCTGGGTGTGTGCCTCAGCAGCCCCTGGCCCTGCAGGGCTGGGCGAGCTCAGCACCGCACGGTGTTCAGCTCCCAGCTGCCGCTGCTCCTGCCAGCACATGAAATGCCACTGGATCCATTTTTCCAGCGCCCGTGCTGTCTCCTCAGTGGCATCGGCAAAGCTGCTGGGCTGCAAACAAGCAGGTGATTAATGGAGGAGCAGGCAGCGAGAGCCAAATGAACCGTTTGGCTGCTGCAAAACAACGGCAGAGCGCTAACAAGGAGCGTCACTAGCAGCCAAGGGATGTGGCCGTGCTCTGCCAGCCCCTTGCCTGGGGGAGGATCAGGAGCAGTGGGGCTGGGAGCGATATTTCCCACACCACAAGCTGTCTCCAGAGTGCTTTCACCGAGTGCTGGTGTGGTTTCACCATATGGTAAATGTGTGTCCCCATCAAAGGTAGAGAGGAAGCCAGGCAGAGAGTTTTGAGGGAGAAAATGAGCAGCTGATGCTCCAGACAGCCTTGAGGAGCCACGACATGTGTGGCAGCCACAGCCCAGATCTGCCTGCCCCAAGGACAGGCCTGGAGCCAACAATTTAATGCCTTTCAGGCAGCATTGATGCCTTTTCAATCAGCATCTCTTGCGAGTGTGCAGGGTTCTGCTCATCTGCATTTTCCAGGGTTTCTTCACATCTCAGAAGGCGGAGAACTGTCAGGGATTTTCACACAATGTTGTTGGGTGCCCACAAGCCTTGGTTTGATATGAACTCCAGCCAGGTGACAGAGAGTGCCTGTGTTCTGGCTAGCAGAGGTCATGGCTTTATCACCATCCAGGGATGCTTTCTGGGACCCTCTATCCCAGAGCACTTCCAGGCAGCCTGGTGAACCCAGGCCCACTCAAAGCATCGCTCTAGAGAGATGTAAAACAGCTGACTGGGCAGCAGACCGCCCTGGCTTGCACCGTGTGTGTTACGTACCAGCGTGTACAAGCCCCTCTTTCTGCTCACTGCAGACCCTCTTCTTCTGACCGGCATCTTATTCCCGTGGCCTTTGTGTCTGAGAAATGGTTTGAAATCTCCTGCTGACTGGCCGAAGCCTGTTTGACTTCTGGGGGCAGGGCAGACGCCAGCGGGCTGTTTCCTGGTACGTACCGCGCTCCCTGCGTCCATCCCGCGCCCCTCCTGTGCCCCCGCTGTGCCCACCGTACCCTGCCTGGTGCCATCCTCCCTCCTGCACTTCCTTCAGCGTGACTGGACATGTTTCATGCCGTGGATGGGGCATTGGGAGCCGAATGGCTTTTCCAGAGAGGTTAATTGCAGACAGGTCAGCACTAACAGGGAGGGACTGGGATGGACAAGGACTCAAAAGCAAAGGGTCCCTGGGGCAGCCTTGAAGTTCAGCCTGATCCCATGGTTCCCAGCCCACCTCTGAAACCTCAGCAAGCCACAGTAATTTCTGTGCTGGGAAATGGCCTGATCTGTAATTAACCTCTGGTGGCATGATGGACAGCCCGCCTCGTCAGAGCGCCACGCGTCCATGCACACTCCACCAGTATCTGAAAGCTCATTTGGGGATGTTGGCTGTCATGACCACTTCCATGTTCACTGCAAGGGTGCTGGGGTCCTCCTCCTCCTCCTCCTCCTCCCCCTCCTCCTCCTCCTGCTGCCCCGCCAAGCCCAACCCTTCAAGCACAGTCCCCAGCAGCCGGTCACGCCTGGGGTGTTGCTGTGACTGAAGAGTGCAGTGATATTCTGGTTGCAACAGTACAATCTTTGGGGATTTCCTTCTCTTTTGTTGAGTTGGCCTGAGCCGTTTTCACCTCCTTGTGTCACTTTTGAAGGTGGCACAGGTGACAGCAGTGGCAGGAAAAGTCTGTGTGTGCCAGCTTGCCCTGGGCAGCAGTGCTCGCTTGAGCCACGTGCTCAGGTGAATTAATTGCTCTGTCCTAAGTCCCTGCTGTAATGAATCATATATTCAGTGTAAATGAAATTTCCAGCCTTCCCTGGCTGCAGCTCACTTGGAATAGCCTGTTTAACATTATGCACAGCTATTGAACACAGAAATATAATTAGATTAGAATGGAAGGGAATAAAAAGTTAATGATCTTGGCCATGCTGGGGCTGTGGTGTCTAGACAGGGCAGGTGAGGTGTGTGCCAGCACAGTGGGGCAGAGGAAGGGATTCACCTGGCATGGCCCCACTGCCCCCCCAGAGCCTCTTCTGGCTGCAGCAGCTTCACTGGTGAAGGTGAAAGGGTCTCACTCCCCATCCACTGATATGCTCATGTTTTTTTCTCTGACTCTGTTGTTGTGGCCATTGTCTCAGGGGACAGAGGGTAAAGGAGCCCAGGTGCCAGGAGTGAGGGCAGCAGGAGAATGAGCATGGAGAATTTGCAGGGAACGCCAGCCTCAGCAATAACCCACTGGGCCTTTTCCACCCTCAGTTTTGTAGTTTGGGAAGTCTTTCCATTGGCTTAAAGTGAATTAAAAAGAAGTAACACATAAAGCAAGCCAGCTACACTCAATACCATCTACATCTCTCCATGCCTCAGGTAGAGGGAAGGAAGGAGCAGCTTGGAGCACTGTAGGAATCCTGTGTGGATCCCACTGCTCCTGCCCCAGGTCCTGTGAAACCCCGGGCCAAAGACTGTGCCCTGGTCACCTCCATAGATTTCTTTAAATAGCCTGAAGCCATTCCATTACGCCTTATTAAATCCTTGAAATTCTCATTGATCCGTTTTCATGGAATCCATAAAACGCACATTGACGCGCTCTGGAAAAATCTATCAGGCTCGTACCTGGAGCATTAGCTCTGTAATGGCACTTCAATTACAGATGCAATTCTGGAAGCTGCTGCTTGGTTTCATTAAGGATAACAAAATGAGATTGATCTCAAACCTGTTCTACCTGCTCTCTGCATGTTTGCTCTGCACAGGTGTGTTTGCACCAGGCTGTTTCTGGGACACGCTTGCATAAGTGGTGGTGGGAAATCCCTCAGGTGAAATGAGCATTCCAAGTTTCACGTGTCACTGTGTAAGGTGCAGATGGCATGGAGACGAGCTCCCTGCTAGGCTGTCCCTGCCACCGTGGTTGCCTTGTGCTGTCACCAGCTGCCAAGTGCCAGAGGAGCAGTGGGATGGAGGGAAGCAGAGGGGTGGAGGCATGGAGGATGCCTCTCCAGCTCTTGTTTCTAGGGGAGAGGCTGGTGGAAAAGGAGATGCAGCTGCTTGGGCTGCACCGCTTCCGGGGGAATGAGTATTTCCTGGCTGGCATACACAGCTGCAGCAAGGTCACCTGAAGGGGACAGTTGCTGTTGACCCACTGCACCACAGCAGAGGAGAAGGATGCTCTGGAGCATGTGCAGCTTTCTGGCTGGAGGGGCTACACGCAGTTTTCTCCTCACAGCCCCTTTCTCCTAGTGTTTTACACATTTTAATTGACAGCACTTCACAGCTCTGAGCTGTCTCCTTGGCACATTAGTGCTGCTGATGGTGTAGGGCCAGAGCTGGAGGCACAAGGCAGGTGGCATGTCCCAGGACAGGGATGGCAGGACAGAGGTGCTGCAGATGTTTTGTGGAGATGACCACTGGCAGCCAAGTTGGAATTTAATGTGAACTTCACATCTGACAGTCTGTCAGCCTGATGTGAGGACTGCCCAGCTGGCACCTTGGCCTTGGGTGATGCCAAAAGCATCATCAGGCTGGGCTGAGCAGTTGAGGCAGCAGATATAAGATGCTGAGCATCTCCAGCCCAGAAAGCTGCAGGCAGCGCCACGGTTGTGTCAGGAAACCTGGTAAAACTCATCCAGGTACACAGGGAGCAGATGCTGAAGCTGTTTCCTGGGGTCAGATTCCTCCTGTGCCAGCAGGAGCCACGGGGAGGGTTCCTGTGCTGCAGGCATGGTCCCTGCCAGGGCACCATCCCTCCCCACAGCAGGTGATGCTGCCCGTGGCAAGCAGCTGGTGGAGCTTTCCAGCAGATTGCCTGTGCTGGCTTCTGGGCCCCACTGGAGCACCAGCTCCTTGGTGGATGTCACACCCCAGCAGCAGCTGCTGGCAGCTACTCCTGCAGTCAGAGAAGTCAGTCTGTCTGCAGCAGTAGTGCAGCCTTGGGCTGGATAGGTGAGGAGTGGAGCAGTCAGTGGAAGCTCTCAGGAGTTGCCTGAAGGGAGGGATGAAAAGGAAAACTTCTCTTGCTTGGTGGCAGTGGTGCTGGAGGAGGACCCAGACACAGGCAGGAGCACCACAGCTCTGCAGACCAGCACAGGACACGTGCCAAAGACTTGAGTGGCTTTGTCCAGGCACCACAGCACAGGATGGCTGGTTTGGCTTGATTTCATCCTGGCTTTGGGGCTTTCTGAAATGAAGTTTGAGATTCCGCATTATTCTTGTCCTTAATCCCACTCTCTTTGACTGAAAAACCCCATGGAATGGGATTATACAAAAATCTGTAAGGTTGATCAAGCACTGACCTACTTTGCACAAAGAGGCTATTTGGGATACAATACCAATTGTACATCCTGCTGTCCTGCATTAACCAGTGCCCACCAGGAACGCTGGGCACCGCTGGCAGGGAGGGGACAGTTTGGGGCCCAGCAGCTGTGCTGGTTTGGTGACACAGCCTGACCCTGCCCTGGCACAGCACTGTGTGGCAAAGCCACGCTCGAACACGGCAGCAGCTGCTGCTGGCCCCGTTCTGCCTAACAACAGCAAATGGTTTGTGTTAACATTAACAGATAATGAGTCATCATAAAAGATCCCAGCTTGTCTTTGGAGGAGTAGCAGCAGTCCCAGCACAGCCCCGGCGCAGGAGATTAAGGACTCTGGAAAATCTGTCTCTCTAATTAAGACTTCAGGGTTGTTCTTGGAGATGGTGTATTGGGCATCTTGCTTTAAAAATAGCGGGTTTTTTTAGGGAAAGAACCCTGGAGCAAAAAGCACACCACATTCTGGATGCTGATCCCAGCCAGGCAGAGGGCAGAGATTAGGGATGTGTGGATTAGCAATGTGTGTCCTGAGCATGCCTGTACAGGGTGTAGGTACCTGCTGGCAGCTGTCTTTGGCACACCCAGCTGTGCTACAGCTCATTAAATGTCACAGACATGTAGAACAAGTGGCCACACGCCAGTGATGGGGAGTGATTGTCTTCACATTGAGCATCCAAGATTGCATAGGAAGACATCTTCCAGTAGAAGGTAAATAAATAGCTTAAGGATTTTTATAGGATCTCTGGTTCGGTGCTTAACCAATTCCCTATTGATTCTTTAGATTTAACTTTAGAAAATCTTGTTAGTGCTTGTCATCATCCGCTCGTCTGCCAGAGCACTCGCACTGCTCAAGGCATGAGTGTGAGAAGCTGCAGAACGCAGGGATGATTGGGAGTAAATCCCACTCTGGAAAAGGCCCTGAGGAGAGAGAAGTAGTGGTCCCAAGACCCAGCACAGACCAGAAGCTGCAGAGGAGGAGGAGGAGGAGGTCGCTGATAGCCCGCTCCCCCTGGAATCCCACAGCTCCCCAGCCAAGGGGGAAGGAGGAGGAAACCTCTAGGCTGTGAGAGATCATCCAAGCAGTGAAGCAAGACATGGTGCAAATTCCCTGTTGTGACTTAATCTTTCTTTTTCTTCTTGTCCTCAACAGGATTCCATTGGTGAACCTGTAAAAAATATAAAAAAATAATGGGTTACCTGTACCTACCATTTCTGTTTACCAGTAGGAGACTCAAAGAGCAGCGTTCTATGGGCCAAATATATTTTTATAAAAATGAACACGCCTATAGGTAACTGCGTTGTCAAGGAGCACGTTTTTGGGAGGAGAGAAAGGAAAGTGTGCGAGTAAAGAATCCTGTGGAGGAGGAGGAGGAGGAGGAGGAGGAACCAGCAAGGGATGGAAAGGGAAGGATGAGCGCCTGGAGCCCGGCCATGGACGGTGACTCTGAACCTGTGCCAATAATACCATTATGTGCCATGAACTGATGCAAAGACTTTGCAAAGAGCTGAGACAATAACGCCTGGAAATGTTGTGGAGGACAAGTGGGGCATCTCTTCTGGTGGGGTCATCCATTCCGGTCCATACGCGTACATACATACGGTATATGTAGAGAGAAAATATATATATATATACACACACAAACACTTTTTGTACTGTAGCAATTTTTGAAGATCTTAAATACTCATTTTTAAAGAAGATGTCATGGGCTAAAAGTCTCATTTCTTTAACACGCATCATGCAAACTGGGTGATCTGATGTTTTCTACTTTGGCAGCTTGCCTGTCAACCTATATGTGTATATATAGGTAGACATATATACATATATATACGTGTGTGTGTGTATGTATAGACATATATATGTATGTATACATATATATATATAATTTTGGTTCTTTTCGGAAATGCTTTTCCAGCGACGTGACCGTGGTGGGAGACAGCTGGGGCTGTGCTGCCAGCAGGAAGCAGAGGAAAAGCTTCCCAAAACCATCCAGAGCACAGCTCAAGGCGGTGCTGAAGGTGTTTCCAGGCTTCTATATCCCAATACATCATCAAAGTCAATGGGAAGAAACTGGAAAGCCTGAGCCTGCCCCTTGTCCACACTGCTGTGATTTCTGCCATGCTAGGCATGACACCTCGAGGCTGGACGGGGCAGATTTTAGTGGTGGACTTCCAAAAGATGGGCCTCTCTTGGCACAGAAGAAAAATTTTAGGAGTGGGGTGTGGGAAGGTTTTTGGAAAATGGCTTCTAAATTGGCCACAGCACCAAAGCTTACTCAGCCCTGTGTGAGAAACTAGAGGAAGGAGCTCGTGTCCTCCTCCCCCAGCCTGGGGTTGTGGGATTGAGAGAGCCTCTTCCTTTGTTCTCCCGGTCTTGGCTGGCTCTGCTGCAGCAGGAGAAGACTCAGCCGGCTGCCCACAATCCTGGAGATCTCTTAATAGTGTTTAAAGGGAATTTTTACCAGGGAAGCACGATTCTGCAGGCTCCGGTTTGGTGCGTTGCTCTAGAAACACGTCCACGCCCGTCCAGCTCCTGCTGGGGTGGGTGGTGTTCGTGGGTGCTGACCCTAAACCCTCTGTCCAAGTCTTTCCATGGAGTCGGGTGCTGCCATGCCGTGCTGCACATCAGACACTGGGATGGGTCTCTCTTGGGTCCCTTCAATGTCAAAAGGGTGGAAACGACAGCAGAGATCAGACCAAAGTCCTCCAGTTCTTTTTGTAAACTGCCCTTGGTAAATACTAGTGGTTTTATAGAATTGTCCAGATCCACGTTTCTACTCCTCCGCTGATTACTCAGCTCCTTTTCTTTATGATAATGAACGTGCAGTTTAAAAACAAACAACAAAAACAAAAAAGTAGAACCCTGTGGTGTTGCGCATAGCCACGCGTGCGGTCTCTTGTTCCCGTGTCCTTTTCTGTCCTTTTCCCATGGAATTGCACAGTCTGGATTATTTGTCCTGAATTTTTGGACGCTGCCTCAGACAGAAGTCTTCCTTGCCAGCCCTGACAATTACCTGCGGACTTGAGCCAACCATCCCCTGGGCAGAGCAGTGTCTCCTGGGCGGCTCATGTCCGGCTCTCCAGAGCACTGGATGCCTCCAGGGAGAAGAGGAGACAGTGTCTTGCTAGAGCAGTGGCCTCCAAAGCTTTAGCTGTCCCTGGGAAGCATGGGGAGTGTCTGTCCTTGGGAAGCATGGAGTCTGAGCAACTGCTCCAGGGTCATTTCAGTGTCCTGGGGCTTTCCTGTGACGCTGGTGTCAGTGGTGCAGCCCTTGCCCACAGGCTCTCCTCCCTTCGTGACTTCATGGGAATCCATCCATGCCAGCTTTGAGCCATGTTCCTTGTGCTTCTCCCCTTAATCTTCCTATTTGTTTCATTCCCACAGGTATTCCAGTGTAATCGCGGTAGCAGTATGACAAGAAATTTATCTCAGCTCCTTCATTGCAGGGCATCTGAAGCAGCATTCTGTGTTTCTGCATGGATGGAACCTGCTGCCCGCAGGGAAGTTGTCAGGCAGAGCTGGGAGATGCCAGGGCAGCACGGGCAGTACCGATGCAAACGGTGGTGATGATGGCAGTGGTGATGGACAGGCACCTGGCTCACAGGAAATTCCCTGTGGAGCTGGGGAAGAGGAAGGGAAAACATGTGTGTGTCTGTGTGTATGTGTGAGAGAGAGAGAGAGAGAAGGAAGGTGAATCACTGTGACCCCGAGGATGGGCACAGGTTTTAGAGGGCAGGACTTGCATGAGCTTCTCCCCCAGTCTGCAGCAGGACATGTCCTGATCTCCCCAGAGCTGAGCAGTGAACCAGGGAACAAAAGTAGATGCACAATCTTCCCTTATTTATAAGGACCAACAGCACTTGCACTTTATCAGAGGAAGCCTCCCCCCATCCATGCTGGGCCACTGCAGTGGAGGGAGAGGAGGAGGAGGAAGGGCTGGGATGGAGCTGCTGATGCAGCGATGTACAAGGCAGGATCCAGGCATCCCAAGGTCTTGCACAGTGAAGAGAAATGAACTGTGTTGATTTCATTCCCTCCTATTGATGAAAGCCAAAAAACAAGAAAAAAATGAGAACAGAAAGTCGCATTTCCATGGCATAGTCTATTGAGTAGATCTTCCCACTGTGGAAAAGCAGGGAAGCATGGTGTTCTCAGACACACTCCTGTGGGAGCTTTGTCATGTTTTGGGCACATCGTCTCACCCCAAGGTCCTGGAAGCTTGAAAAAAGAAAAGTTTTGCTCCTTGCTTTGCTGTAAGCCCTCAGCCCACTGCTGCTTATTTGTATTCTGTTCATTTTCCAGATTCCTTAGCCCCTGAACAGTCCCTGAGAAACACACCATGGCAGCCAAGAGGCTGCCACATTCCCCAGGCACATCACGGAGTGTCTGTGTGTCACTTGTGGCTCTGTCTTAGGGGAGAAGGTGGTGTGGCACAAGCCACCCATGGCAAGGAGAGGTTGTCTCTCCTTGGGCTCTGCAGCAAGCCCAGGCTTCCCAGGGCCATCCATCCCTCCACATCCCTTGCAAACCCTGAGCAGGAGCCACAGGATGTGCCGCTCCCACCGGGCCAGGCAGTCGGTGCTGCCACTGCTGCCACCGGCACGTGTGGGCTTTGTCCTGCACCAAACCGAGCAGGTTTGGGGCTCCAGGGCCGAGCTCCCACGTCATGGCACCAACAGGTAGAGCAGGCAGGGTTTGGTCCTCAATCCCCTGACCTTTGGAAGCCGGGGTCCCCCGAGGGCGGCTTCACCCCCCAGCACCCCGGGCAGAGCCGGTCCTGGGCAGCCGCCTGTCTCTCCAGATCCGATCGTTTACCTTCACTCTGTCTTCCCAGCTGGAGAAAGGGCGGCCGGTGGTGGTGGCAGGAGCCGTGCTCCAGAGAACACCAGTGCTCCATGGGGCACCAGTGCTCCATGGGGTCAAGGGCACCGTGCCTGCCAGGAGGTCACCGTAGCGATGGCAGAGCTGGCGCGGGGACGGATTTCAGGTTACCTCTTCTCCACTGGCAGCTTGTTGCGAAGGAAGGTAGTTCAGCTGAAACGGTAGTTAAATAGTAGATATTCTACACATAATATATATTTTGTAAAAAAAAAAATTAAAAAAACAAAATAGAACAAAAATATATCTATCCTATCTCAGCCCACCCATTTCAGGATGAATGTGGTTGGAATTTTTGTTCAACCAGATATTAAATCTGTACGCGATTTTTTCAAAACCAGCAAGAAATCCCTTGCCATTTCCAAGTCTGTGGGTTTGGTCTCCCTAGCTCATCTAATGCTTCTCACACATTTTTAAGAATTACTCTCAGCATTTGTAGGTACATTTTTAATAGTGTCACAAGTGGAAATAATATTTACTTTGAAAAAAGTATATGTTGCACAAAAATGTACACTAAGGGCACAGATTTCTGACCCAGATTCTTCTATTTTAGGTTCCAAGGGGTTTATTTTTTTGTTTGATAGGACATGTACAGTGAAGTTTACACTTTATTTTTATTTTGCCAAAACCCGTTTTCTAACATGAGACAGTTTTACTTTGTAACCGGTTTTACATCACTGAGTACTTCTTTCTTTTCCTGGGAAAATCCTGCACCAGGAGGCATCCGGTGGAAGCGCCGTCGCCTTTTGGCATTGTGGCTGCCCCACCCGCCCACAGCACGGGCTGGGGCAGTGCCAAAAGGACCTTTTCTTCCTGAGTGGTTTTTAATTTGTCTCTGTCCGTGGAAGCCGTGTATTTGGAAGCACTGTAAATGCCACCCTGTCCCCTTGCCCTCTGTATATTTAGTACTCTGATGTTGCTATTAAAACTGATATGAGAACCGCGCAGCCGCTGCTGACTGGGTTCCTCCGCGCGCGGCCACGGTCCCTGGGGAGGGGACGGGGTTGGTTTGGTGTCCAGGGGGATCCATGTCTCAGCAAGGAGTCCAGAGGCTTCCTTGGGGAAATCCCCCTGTTTCCAGCTGTGCACACCTCGGGTGAGCAGCAGGGAAATAGCCCTGCCTTCACCCTGGGAAGAGGATCTTGTGCATTCCCTTGGAGTCCCCACCGCGGCAGTGCCACCTCCACACCCCGTGGCACAGGCAGGAGGGTGCCAGGTCCCCAGGCTCACCCAGTGTCCCCCAGGGCTTTGAGGGGACCCCGTGTTGCCTTGGGACAGCTGCTTGGAAGAGGAAAGCCATTGAACAGGATTATTGGGGAGTTAATTAAACATCACTAATGATGCCTTAAACAAACAGCTCTGCTATGAAATCTCTTCATCCAGCTACATCTTTTACCCAAGGAGGAGTCCTGGCCATGAGCAGCTCCGTGGTAAGTGGTGGCTCTGGTTTGCACATTGGGTGTGGAGCAGGTGATGGTGGGTCACTCAGGCTGGCCCTGCTGTGCTGCTCAACAGATGGACGGACAGATGTGGGGACTGGGCAGCACAAGGAGGGCTCTTGCCAGGCAGCAGGGACAGCTCCCATAGCCCCCCCTTGCTCCCACAGCATCTCCCTTCCTCAGGGCACTGTGGGACAACATGGCTGTCATCCTCACAATGCCATCTGACCTGGAAAGGGGGAAAAGCCTTCACTGGTGCCCATGTTGGCTTTGAAGAGGGATGGCCTGGGAAGACAGAGACCAGCACAGCCACCTGCCACTTGCATTCCCGGGCTGTGGCAGCATCCTCCCCGCAGTGCCAGCACCCTCCACAACTCTCCGTG